ACTTGTCATCTTTACTTTGGGTGTATTCAGGGCTTAGAACACGATAGATGCACAAGAAACAATTCTTTGGCAACTCTCAGAAAACTGCTTTGTTTGTCATATATTGTACTCTAGAGTTGCTTATAACACCCGGGCCTTGCAATTTTGCAAAAAGAAAAGTGATTTCAGGACAATGTGTTCAGTTTCATCAAGCATGCACTAAGCATGTGCAGACACACTTAATTGACTCAGGCTAGACTCTGAGGCTTCATGCAGGGTACAAGTCCCTGGAAAAGCACTGTATAGACACTTCAACTCCCTTCTCTCTGGCTTTCTCCCAAACACAGGTTATCTCTGCCACAGGTGCCATATCCATGCCCTACCACATGCATTACCTGTACATAGGTGAATTTCCCAGATCACACCATTTCCATCCTCGAGTCACAGAAAACAGAAGCCCATCCCCTAAACTCGTGGCTTACTTAGCTCACCTCACCATAGAGACTCATGGCTAGAGAGTAGAGAGTAGACTGTTGGTGGGCCAACATTCCAGAATATGATTGTGACTCTAAGGAATTCATTTGGCTCCAAACATCCAGCAACAATGGAGGATGAAAACCAGATGCTAGGGAGAGCCAGCTGCCAAGTTAGGAGTACTGGGCATGTTAGAGGAGAGACAACAGGTAGACAAACAGGACCTGGAAAGGGCATGAGGGGGTGATGAGGGGGTGAGGGGGGATGGGATGCCAAGGGCCTGGCTTCACACATCAGAAACCAAGTATCTGTATCCAACTATGAACTTCCAAAGACCAGGGACCCGAACTGCTAGGCAGCTAACTGCTGGGGCTTATTTGGCAGTTGAGGAAATTAAACCACTCATGATTGCCCAAGACAGGACTAGGGTACACAGCAACTATCAGGCTACTTGGGCAGAGCAACTCCTCTTGAACATCAGATGGAAAAACTTCCCCTGCTTCGATGCTTTACCGGGAAGAGGCAGAGCCACGACTCCAGCTTTGGCCTCTTTGCAGTCCCCATCCATCCACTTCAGAGGAGCCAGAGCAGGCACTCAGATTCACAGAGCATGATGGCTGAGGACAACAGAGGATCTTTTCTGTGGTCCCCATATGTTAACTGCCTAAAGTATTTCTAACCACAGCCATTAATGAAGTTAAACAAAGTCAAAGTGGGGCCAACGCAGAAGCTGTGGAAGAATTTGAAAGAAACTTGGGTACCCCAGGAAGAGGTGGGGGACATCAGGTATGCTTGGGAGCCAAAGGCACTGGCCCAGGCTGAAAAATCCTTTCTAGAATGCCTGATGAAAAAACATGACCAACATACAAAGAATCAAGAGAAGCTGAGGAAGGGCCAGCTCCAAGAATGGGGAGAGAGATAAAAGACGGCAAGTAGCCTTTGGACAAATGAAGCAGACTGCAGATCTTCTAGCCCAGGATAAAAAGATCCAACCTGATCTCCAGCAGCCACTGCAGGCAATGCCTGAGCAAAAGGTATTATTAACCAAAGATAAGCCAGAGTGAACAGGACACAATGCAGATTGAAGAGAAGCAGTCAGAGTTGCTCAAGGAAAAGACCCAGACCTTGGAGTTGTCAGCCAAGGAGAGTGATTTTAAGAGCTACCCCACCATCAACAGAGAGAACCAGCTGCTGTGGAGGAAATTACAGCAGCTTGCCCAGGATTATTACAGGGTGGAGTCAACAACAAAAGAGCTACAAAAACAAAGGCAACTGCTGAAGAATAGTGATGGGCCTCTGAGATCGGGGGGACGTCAGTAACACTGGCAGAACGGGAGCCAACAGAAGGTGCTCAAAAGAACTAGGTGAACTAAAGACCACAGTCAGCTGTCCCCTGGGCCCCACCTTAAGGACAAATCTGGATTGATCCCCATAATGCCAGATGTGGTAAGAACTGGAGGAAACACTCTTCCAGTTTGTTTTAGAACTGAGCAAGCAAGACCCAGCACAGCTGTCTCCTGGGAATAAAACACCAACTAGCATAATAGTGCTAGACACTGTGACTCTAGAAATGCAAGCCCATCACATTGTCTCTGTTTCCAAAAACAACTTGGCTTCTACGTTGTCATCTTAAAGAATTAGAGTAATTGTTCTTCTTGGTATTCGAGCCAGTACAAGGCTGAGATGCAGCTGAAGCAGGGAAAACCTGGGGAAGCTCTTCTGATCTTTAACAATGGGTAAGTACAGATGAGAAGGTAAAAAGAACCCATAGAGGCAAAGAATTCAATGCCTTGGGACTCCTGAGAATGCTTATTAAGTGGCTGCTGAGGTCATACTCCAGTCTGATTCAGAAGAGAACTTGGACTCCCAATGGATTCTGGAACAGAGCCCCGGATGACACCAGTCTCACTATTGTACTGTTTTCTCCAAGTTGTACAAAGGGTGTCTGAGTCACTGGGAAAGTGGCCCGGGCCTGGTGGGCTGCCCTAGGCCTGAAGAACAGTATGAAGAAGACCTTGGAAAATGTGGGTGTTGGGTGCTTATGAGAAAGCAGCAGGGGGTAGAGATGCTTCAAGACAAATGATAAAGCTGGTGGCACTAAACATAAAGGACACACGCTGGCTCAGTGCCCTGATTCACCAGTGAGTCAGCGTCTATGAGCAGGATGTACAGCCTTGAATTGTATTTCAGAAAAAGGCAGTGAGGTAAACTTCCAGAAGGTCTCTGTGTTCTCCTCTGCCATCATTAACAAAAAGAACAATCACTAGCAGTAACCAGCCAATTTGTAAATCATCACAAGCTATAATTGGCTCCAATAAGAGATGGCCTCAGACCAAAGACAATGTGGGGCCTGACTTGCAGATCAGAGTTTATAATCTGTTCCTGCCATGTACTAACTGGTGCTGTTGGGGGAGGTCTCATCACCTCTTTGAAATTTGTGTCTGGAGAAAACTAGAGTAAAGGAATGAAAGATGCTTAGCATGTACTATTCAATAGTCAACAGTCAATAAAGGATAATAGGTACTTAGTTAGCAACAGTAGTTGGAATAAGAATCTTTTTATGCTGTATATTCCTAGCTGCTGTGACTGCTGGATTACAAGGAGTCAAGGTGTTGGACATAGGCTTCATTCCTAGTCTGGAAAGGTGCTAATTCTGTGAAGAATGTCCATGAAAGAAGAAGAGATTCAGGGGTTTTACTAGTCTTTCAAGGATACTTTTTTTTTTTTTTTCTTTTCAATAAATGACTGCTTTCCAATAGAATCAAAGTCTCCAGGAAGGAGACAATAAAAGAAAAATAAGAAGCAGAACAAGGCACAGGCAAGCAAGACCTTTTCTAGCAAAGGGGCGGCCAGGCATCACAGACCAAGACAGTCTAAGAGGGCTCATAAAGAGCTGAGGACTGCAGCCGGGTTTAACCTCACCAGGATACCCGCTGTTTACTCACGTATCACAACTGAATGGCCTCTGCTGTCTATTTCTTCCCAAAGTAATACTCTCTAGTTTTTCAACATGTTCCTCAATGCCCTTGATCACACGGTCCCTTTAATTCAAGACTTCCACATCTCCATCTATGCTGAAGGTAGAAGAAAAATCTTTCTTTCTTCTTTCTGCCATCTTTCCCTCTCCTCCTCTTCATCCCTGTTTTTCTTTTCATCAAGAATGCTTGTCCTAGAGAAGCCAATTATAAAAGGCTTTGCCAAAAAGTTGGAGTAGGGTAAGGAGATGGCTCAGTTGGTAAAGTGCAGTGCTTGTTTTACAAGCATGAATACCTGGGTTCAATCCCCAGCATCCATGTTAAAAAATAAACCAGGTGTGACAGCAATATGTCTATTGTCCCAGCAGTGGGGAGATGGAGACAGGAGATCCCTGGGGCTTGGTAGCCAATCTACCTAGCTGAATCAGTGAGCTCTGGGTTCAATGAAAGACTGTCTAAAAAATTAGGCAGAAAGCATGCATAGGTTAGTTTTAATTGTCAAGTTGACTATAATCTAGGGAGTCTCAATGAGGGTTTGACTAGATCTGGTTGGCTTGTGGGCATGTCTTTAGAGAATTATCTTGGGAAGGTGAGAAGACCTGCCTATTGACGCCATTCCCTAGACAGAGGTTCCTGAACTGTGTACGAGGGGAGAAAGGGAGCTGAGCGCAAACATGCACACATGCATTGTCTTTCTGTTCCTGACTGGATGTGACTGGCTGCTTCAAGTTCTTGTTGCCTTGGCTTTCCTGTTATGGTGGACTATAAACTGGAATTGTGAGCTAAATAAACCCTTTTCCCCTAAGTTACTTTTGCCAAAGTGTCTTATTAAAGCAACAGGAAATGAAACTAAGAAATTAGAGTGATTGGCAATGACACCAGATGTTAACCACTGGCCTTCATGTGTTCACATGTGCACACGCACCTGCACATACACAAAAATGTACACACACATACACACAAAACAACTTTTTAAATCACCAGCAGGATTAAGAGTTCTTGCTTTGGATTCATGGATGAGTGTAGGGGATATGAATAGATAGATGACAGAAAGAAAGAAAGATAGATGATAAATAGATAGACAGACAAAAAGACAGGAAGGTAGCCAGATAGATATGAGTAGTGTCTTGTCGTATGTGTGTACATTTAACTATACACATGTATTTTTATTCTTCTGAAGGGGAGTTTACACTTTATTAAGTCCTCACGAAGGAGAATAATCCCCAGAAGACTAAAAAAAAAAAAGAAAAAAATCAGTGGTTCAGACCAGGATTCAGCAAACTGTAACCTACAAACCAAGTCATGTCCACTGCCTCTTCTCATAAATAAAGCTAATTTACCTGATGTCCGGGCAGCTTTGCACTACAACAATAGAGTAGTTGCAATGGAGACCACGTGGCCCATGAAACCCAGTACTGACTGCCTTTGTTTTTATTGAAAAAGGGTACCGACCTCAAATTGGGATGAAATGTTTAGAACCATCCACTAGATTTAGCAGTTGCCAAATAGCCACATATCCAAAGGTGACCAAACAATTTTTCAATTAAATTTTCCCTAATTTGTGTCTCATAGATCAATTAACCGGCTGTAGATTGACCCTCATCCTGCCCTCGTTGAAACAAGAAGTGGCTAAAAGAGACTGGTTCAAACTCTGCCAAGGCTCTCTGCCATAGGCACCCTGGGCTACACTTTCTTTTCAAACTGCTGGAGCAGAGGTACTTAGGCAACAGAATTATCATCACTCTAAATAATTCACAGACTTTGTAGCTGCTGGCTCTAAACCAAATATGAGCAATTATATAATTAGCAGCAGTGCACTTAAAGGACTGTACGTAATATGCTAATGCTCTTGGCATGCCAAGGCAAAGCTGCAGACCAGACCATGTTGTATCTTCCCTAGCCCACAAGATCTGTCCAAATCAAGAAATACCCTCAGAGTATTTAAAAATCATTCTATCAATCAGATGGGTAGGGTGCTGTCTTTCTTTTGTTTTTATTTTTATACGTAGGTACTTGCTATGTTAGAATGCATTTTTTCCTTTGACCTACAAAAGAGGGTAACAGAAAGTCTCACCTCACTTTATGTTTCATGTTGATTGATTTCATTTTCAGTGTATGTTCTGATTAATATATATTAATTTTATCATCTTTAGGTCAATATTTTTGCTTGTTTTGCTGTTATTTTTATTTTGGATGACTCCTCATTCTGTTCTTTTTTTTTTTTTTACTGGCAGATTAGTTTATGCATGTGTACTTTAAAATATATTTTTATTCTTTTTATTTTATGTGTATGAGTGTATTGCCTGCATGCATGTAAGTGCACCCATATTGTACAATGCCCACAGAGGTCAGAAGAGGGCGCTGGATTCCCCTGGAATGGTTGTTAGCCACCAGGTGGGTGCTGGGAATTGAACCTGAGTCCTCTGCAAGAGCAGTCAGTGCCATTAACCACTGAGCCATCTCTCCAGCTCCTACGTATATAGACCATAACTGCATTTGCATACTCTGTGCAGAGAACACAACATGTAGATACTTGAGTATATTCAGTTTATACACACACCCAAGCTATGCACCATTGTTCTGTGCATGTCTTCCATGCTTTGAAACCTTAGGAACTGTCTGCTTTACCTGACCTTGCTGTTTGTACAGGAAGCTACTTGTCCGCAGCTGCATGTAGCAACAGTTTCTTGGGAAGAAGGTAGGAGTACAGTCACCTCTCAGGACCCATGGGGAACAAGTGCCTGGACCCCTCTGAATATCAAAATCTACAGATGTTCAAGTCCCTCAAAAATGACACCATGTCATATACTTCAGGTGACCTCCAGATTGCTTATGATACCAAAATACAGCGTTCATAGTCTGCAGTTGTTCTCCTGTACTGCTCAAGGAATCAATCACGAAGGAAAAACAACTGTGTTTAGTAAAGACTCAGTCTTCCTTCCCTGAGTCTTTCCCATCCATGGTTGGTTGAATTCACAGATACAGATGCTGTGGATACAGGGAGGGACAGCTGTATTTGCAAATCTAATCTGGAGTCCTATTCTACTCAATGTGTGTCTTATGATGGAATTTCCTCTTTGGGTTGCTGTGAAATCCTTACTCCACTTTCCAATCTGGGCTTGCTAAGCATGGCTGCCAACTATGGATGGCCTCTTTCCGTGAGTTGTTCATGAAACACATTTTCGTAAGTTGGTGTTCCCTGTACTCACTAGCATGTTGTTCACATCAGTGTTTCTTAAATAATTCAAAATAAGGATCTAAAATCTGTTCTACTATAATCAAGAGATGGTGTCTAAGAATCAAATAATAGCAAGTATTAATAATCTGTCCATTACATTACAGCCTTGTGCTATGGATTTTGCCCACAGCACACTGAGAGTGATGTGTTGACAGACTGGAAGATGCAACTTCATAATGGAAGGAAGCCTGGACTAGAAGTCAGAAGCCTCAGGCCTCAGCCCTAACACTAACCTTGGCTGTGGAAGGCATTTAACACCCCTGGCATGTGGGTGCCTCACATGTGAAGTGAAAGACCTGGATTAGCAATCCTTAGTGTTACTTCATCTCCACTAGCTAGGGATTCTGTTGAGAAAAAGTAAACCAGTTGCCAGTTGGTCTACCAGAAGGAAGAAGATAAACAGCGTGAAGGGTGAAGCGTACTGCACAGGTAAACCAAAGAGATGGTGTATTGTACACATTTTCAGATAATTCAATCACAGGTCACTTTCAAACTGCACAAGAAACTAAGATCTAACATTGTACACAACTATTAAAATCTGTGCATGGGCCTTATACAGAAATCAAATTTTAGAGACAGGCATGTCAAAGAGGGGTCAACCCACCTTACCTTAACTGGGAACTGGTCATTTTGCCTTTCTCCATAGGCAAAGAGCCAACATTTTAAATAAATTCATTGCTTATGTGACTCTGCTTGATTTCTCTTTATTGATTAGTTTCATGGTCATGACAGAATTTGCATGGATAGTCCCTCCAGATCTTGACAGAACCCGTGCTGTGTAACAGGAGAAAAGTTTAACCTATATCTGGTCTTTTCTCCTAGTTCTGGAAGAAGCTTTTCTGCCGTTGGAATTTCCCAAAAAACAGGAATCTCTGTTTTTCTCTTGGATCACACTCGAGTTTATGCTGATGAGTGACTCAGGATAGGTTACTAACAGACAAGTCACATGACCACAAGGTTGGGCCTTTGAGTCATGCGGCTGTCAACCTCCTCTAGGGAGGAAGGGGAACTGAAATTTGAGTTCAATTACAAGGTCATCAATTTATTCAGCCATGTCTACATAATGACCCAATATACACTGTGTGCTCTGAAGCCTGGTGAGCTTTCTGGATGATGTGCTGAAAGTGTGATGTGTCCTAGTCCCAAGAGGAGGGGGCATGGAGGCTTGCATGGGAGACCCTGCCAGATCTTGTCCTATGTATCTCTTCAGTTGGCTGGGCCCTGATTTATATCCTTTAAAATAAAAACTAGAATCATAAATACAGTGCTTTTTTGAGATCTGTGAGTAGCTGTAGCTTATTATTAAACCTAGGGGATCCATGGGAACTCCTGAATTTGTAGCCAACTTGTCAGAAGTGGAGACACCTATGGTCAGAGAATCCTGGTTAGGGACAGTGCCCTGAACCTGTGAAGTCTGTGTTGACTCCAGGCATTTAGCTTGGAATCATGCTACAACACTAGAGGCCACTTGCCACTACAGGGTTTGGCATGGGAACATGTCAGGCACGCCCAATGTTCCCTCTAGAACATTTCTCTTTTGAGACATTCTTGACTGGTTCCATTGCTCGCTCAAGTCTGCTCAAATGTCCCCTTCTGGCTAAAGTCTTTCTTCTCAAGTCTTCTACAAGCTCCTGTTTCCCTCCCCTTTTTCACTCTTCTAAATAGCACTTATCCTTTGATGAAATTTGATCAGGATTTTGTATGTTACATTCCTCTGGTGAGATGCAAGCTCTGTATGGGTAAGACTCTTCCTGCAGTTCACTGAGACATGCCTAGTGCCAGGACCACTGTCCTGCATACAATAGGTATTCATTCAATATCAGGCTAATTGAGCTGCTCTTACTTGCATGCATGCAGACATGCGATTCTCATTTTCAGATTTGGAAACACCATTACATATGGGTAACATTTTAGAACTCACTTGAGAAAAAAATGATTGTGCTCATTTCCTATACATTAAAAAAATGAATCATTTACCTTTAATGTAATTCTCAGAATAATTCTGTTGACAAGTTGCCACATGTTAAAAATAAATAATAGTATTAAACATAAATTGTGCAAAGATGGCTTTAAGGTTCAGAAACAAAGTTATAAAAGTTTATTTTCTCCAGAGATGATCAATTCAAAAGCTTTATAACTATATGCTATGTGCTGGGTTTTAAACATCTCCCACAGTCTCATATATTAAAGCTTGATTGTCAGTCTGTGGGACTACTGAAAACTGGCAGACCATGAGAAGGTAGGACCTAATGGAAGGAAGGGATTGTGCACCTCTTCTCTCTTTGCTTCTTGATGAAGAGGTGAATAGACCTCCTCCTCCACCACCACATGCTCCACACCTTGATTTTCTGCCTCACCACAAATATGAAAGCAAGGGAGACTTCTGATCATGGACAAAATCATCAGCCCAAATAGGGATGACAAGTGGAATAAGCTTTCCTCATTTTAAGTTATTTGCTTCAGGTATTTTGTCATAGGGACAGAAAGGTGACAAACACACTACATTTCAATAGTAGCACAGTTCTCTGTTGTTACATGAGTGAGATCTCCTTTCACTAGGATCTCCATAGATGAACAAAGGGTGGTCCCTGAGTCAGCTGGTTCCCACGCATGTTGAGTGGCTAAGGGAGACAGAGAGGTGATTTTGTTTCTGAGCTATGCCAGGGTAGATTTCACCCTGACCCTCTGATAACCTTTGGCCCCTCCCCTGTGCTGATGTGTGTATTCTTTTTTTTCGAAGATTTAGTTATCATGTTTATGTATATGTATGTGTGTCTACATGAGTTTATGTGCACCACATTTGTGTAAGAGCCAGCAGTGGATCTTCTGGAACTGGAGTTACAAGCAGCTGTGAGACACCATGTGGTACTGAGAACCAAACTTGGTTCCTCTGCAAGAGCAGTAACTGCTCTTAGCCATCTCTAACCCCCACGTGTAGATTCTTGACTGCTTTTTGCTTTGGTTTTGTTGTCTGGCTAGTTGAGGAGGTCTCTTATGGGTTTTGAGAAATTCTTCTTCATGTCTTTGAAGCTCTTTAGGAAAAGTGATGCTCATGATTTCACAGTGATTCCATTCTGCCTATTAAAACATGAACATGCCATCTATACATTTTTTTTTTTTACTAAAAGATAATCCATTTGTTTACTTTCCAGAGTTACTGAGAGAAAAAAATCTAGCCTAAGGCAGTGAGCAGTCACACAAAATAAGTATTTTCTTATGTTTTGGTTATTCAGAACACTTGCAGCAATAAAAATATGTAAAACAGCCTGTGTCCGTACACGACAAATTACTACCCAGTTTTGCAAGCGAATTTTAAAATCATTTTCACATCAAGTATTTTTCACAGCGATTTTCAGTTTCCTGTGAACAGATATTTAACTCCAAGTACTTCTTTTGTTTAAACCACAAAAATCCTTGACACATTCTAGGTTCCGAACATGTGCTTGGCCTGGGGAATGGAATTGGAAGATCTCAAAGGAACAAACTAGGTGCATAAGCTCTTGGACCCATACTACGAAGAACATCCAGAAAGACCCTCCGGTTTTTAGAGGTATACAAGGGACAAAAGGAGCCCTCCTCTGCTCTGAAGGACCCTAAAAAACAAATGCACTCTATTCAAATGACAAATGACTTGCAAACTGAGGCCCAGTTCATCATAAAGTTCCAGCTTAATGGAACCAGCTACCTTCTAACTAGGGACTTTATACTAGAGTGACCCACATAAAGCCACAATTTCACTACAATCAAATATTTCTTTGCCTTGCTTTTACTGTCACCTTATAAAAGTCTCTTTCAACCCCACGTCCCTTTGTGAGAACCCATGCCACTTTTGACTTAGCATTGCCTAGCTCATGAATTGCTCTCTGTTCAAATATATTTCTTTAAAATTTATTATGAACAAGCGTATCTTTTAACAGTTTGCTGCCCGGTTGTAAGCAGAAACTGGTCTACTCAAAGATGGGCACTGGGCCTGATGCCACCCTGCCATTGCTGCCCACAAGGACGCCTATAAGGGTTACTGCAATTTTTCATTTCCTCTTCTTTTTGCCTAGGAGGTTTTAGGCAGTTATACTACTGGTGTTTGGCTAGACAGGCTCCAGGAACCACAACTTACTTAGTTGGGAAAAGAAAGTGTCTGAAACTCAGACCTTATTTCAACTCCCTTTCTCTGTTGTTATGTAACCCCAGGCAGAATTTGGATGCTCAAAGGATCTCAAATGAACAGAATTAGTGACTAAAATTAATAAGATGCTATCTGGTATGAATATAATTAAAACACTGGATGCAAGTTCAAATACGGAATTAAGAAGTTAGAACCTGGCTGGAGATCACATCAGAGAAGCTCAGAGTTCGGCTGGCCCAAAGCCAACCATGAACCCACATTGTTTGGCTTCAGATAAATAGAAACCATCATCTCTCTTAGGCTGCATCTGAAAAAGTCTGGTACCCCTATCAGATGTGTTTATATTGCTGTAGACTTGAGGCTCCTAAGGAGGACTCTGTTCTGTTTGGGGTATCATTTCAAGCTATATTACTGGCCATGGAGTCTGCAGTGAAATGTAACCAGAATAGTTGGGTGGTCTTCAGAGAAATGGCTGTAGGAACTTTGCATAAGAAAGCTGGAAACCCCATCTTTGGGGAAGTTGTTGGGCTGTACTCCTCAAGCATTGGAAGGGATGGCAAGCCAGAATAGGTTTCTACATCCATCAGTCCAACTAACATTTCTTGGGCTTTGGTCCATTCATGGTGCCCTAAAATGCTATGGGATATAGAATAAGATACCTAGGCCCAACCTGCAGCCACTTATAATTAGTAAGGTAAAATGTAAACTGGGTGCCTCAGTTTTTCTACCAATTCTGTTAACCCACTGGCTATGGGAGTTATGGTTATTTTTTGTGTGTGTCAATTCCCTGTGCCACAGGGTATATGGACTGGGCATTATTTCTGAGTGTGTCTGTGAAAGTATTTGTGGATGAGTCTGTCATTTTCTTAGATGCACTCAGCAGCTTTAATTGTCCTCTGCAACGTGTATAGGCATCATCCAAGCTGATAAGAGTCCACATAGAACAAGAGAATGAGGAAGGAGAGTTCATGCATCCCCTTCATTTTCTTCCTTCTCAAGCTTGGGCATTTCATTTCTTCTGCTTCCCAGGGACTGGGCGTTAGATGACTGGGTCATTCTCACGTCTTTGTACTTAAGCTGAATTATACCACTGGCTTTTCTGAGTCTCCAGTTTAGAGACACAAGATCACAGGGTTTCTCATATTCCATAATCACTTGAGCCA